TTTTGTTTTCTGTTATTTTGAGAGTGTAAATGATGGAAATAAAATCTAACTTTTGTTGACATATTATAAGAATGTCTAATCTGTAATTTGATGCCTTTTGGAGATTTTTCCATCTTTTCTTGGCTTCTTTATGGACATTAATACAAATTTTTAGCTGGGGTGCCCAAAATTTCATACCAAAAGGGGAAGTTCCACTTGTTTACATCCACTGTCATATTTGGCACTTTTTGGGGAGAAGTGAGTACCTAGATTTGACAGTGTATCACCCCTCTAGATAGCCAGGAGGCGCTAATGTTCAATTTTTAGTAAGGAGGGCTGAGTAGCAGCCTGGGTGTAATAGTTTGCAAGGTTAAATTCGGGTCAGGGCTGAGAGGCTCTGCAGGTCAATTTCCTGATACCTCCCCCTGCTCTAGAGTCTTGGAGAATATAATAGAAGCAATGGACAGGGTTGCTTGAGGAGGAGGTGGCCTGCACACTTAGGGGACCCTGGCCAATCCCCAAGCAGGAGGCTTGGCATGGAGCCAAGGCAGCCTTTAAATGTGTTAGAGCCTGCCCAGCAGCAGGAGAATTCGGGTGGAAGATGAAGTGAGACGGCTGAGGTGCAGGAGCCTGGGAGGGGGCCTAGTTGGGAAGGGGCCCATCTCCAGGCAGTGATGCTGGAAAGGTGGAAACCTCAGACCTCCTCGGCCCCCAAAGCAAGGACCACCTGTGGAGCAGGGAAGAGCCAGCCCAGCGGAAGGCCCGAAAGCAGCTACCAACCCATCAGCTCATAGAAAAAGGACTGAGTAATCCTACACCACCCCCTGGGCCAGTTAAAGGGGAAAGGAATACTCTGGTAGAGAACCTGATTAGCTCCTTACCCGGGACTGTTTATCAAAGAGGCAGGCACTGGATCTCTTTGCTAAGAGATTCCTATAGAGAGATAGATTCCTACAGGAGGATTATCTGGGGTCTGGGGTGGTACACCAGGAGAGGCTGGAGAGCTCTCCAAGAAGAGATTTTGCTGTGTTAAGTCTTGTACATAGTTCAGGTAGCTGTCCTCACTTGCAGTTCCCTTAGGCATCCCATACACCCCTTACCCCATCCAAGTTAATACACCCCTAATAAAATAAAAAAAAAGAAACCAAAGCTCATGAACTGGTTACTATCTCCTGGATGCAAGACTGTGAGGAATACGTGTTGCCTGGCTGTGCAGGACTAGTGGGATGCAAAACTTCATCCACTTCTAAGGGGGCAGTGATACAACAGGTAGCCGTCACACTTTGGGTCAGATCACCTTGGCAATCTGTGACGAAGCTCGACTCCCTCCTCCTTCCCCAGGTTGCCTTCTGGGACACATCACAGGTCTCAAAAGACTGTGGGACCATTCGCAAAGTGCAGCACGGCTCACGCATTCAAAGTAGAAAACCCACTGAGAAGCTGGAAAGGCTTTACCCATGATGCCGGCACCTGAAGCTAGGGTTGCCCCCTCATCCCTTTAAAACTGAACACATATTAATGACACAGGTTCTGTGGCTGATTAACCCCCCTGGTGGTATTCCTGAGTGTAGCTCGGGGTAAAGTTGCAGTACCAAAACCGATAACCCCGAGCTACACTCGGGAATACCTTGCAGCCGGCATCTGTCTTCCGGGTTCTGTTCCCTGCGACGTCGGGACATACGGGGGACAGAATGGCGGGAAATTAAAAAATGTCAAGAAGTGACATTCACTAAATACACTAAAATCACATAGTATTCCATTACTGTATCAACCCATTTCACATACATTTTGTCCCGAGTGCTTTGTCCTGCGCCCTGCCTGCATTTTGACTGTTCTTTCTGCCTGGAAACTGACAAATGTCCATGGCGTCCAAAAAGTGTCTTTACGTCAAAAGCGGTTTTAGATCAGCTAGAGAACAGCGATAGTAAATCAGAACCACTTGCAGAATTGAGTGATAATGATTTGTGGGGGAAATTCGGCATCAGACACTGAAAACGATTTTGCGACTTTGCTCCATGATGTGCGAACTTGGCGCTATATTTCAAATTTCAGTGTTTTTTGGTTTGATTATATTATTGAATTAAATTTATTATTATTAATTTATTATTTTTTATGATTATTTATTAAATTATAATTTATGATTTCGTGATTCAAATTTTATCATATCCGGGATGTTTACTAGACTCTTGTTCGGACAGATTTCAGTGAGTTATTCCTAAAAATTACAGCCTACAATAACAAAACAACATATTTCCATGCAAAAAAAAAGTACCGCTTTGAGCACAGAAATACTGACATAATCAGACAACTAGGGAGGCTACGGTGGTAATTAAACTCATTTAGTGCCTTATCTGAAATAAATTATCCTCAGAAGCTGTGTAATTTTTATGTGTTTGGGTTTAAAGGGATGAGGTAGCAACCCTACCTTAAGCCAATTGAAGAATTGGCTCGGGTGAGCTCATTGCTGGATCCCTGGACAGGTAAGCGTCCTTATATTAAAAGTCAGCAGCTACAGCATTGGTAGCTACTGACTATTTTTTTGGGGGGAGCCTGGAGCTCCTCTTTAAGAGTATGCCTGTGGGTGGCCCATGTTTTCATGCACAGGGATGCAAAGGTGTTCTGTGCACCTGTGTGCAGGCAGTCCCATTCCGTCAATTTGTATGCAGCAGCTTCATATGCAGAGCCACTGCCCCCAATTTGACAGTTGGGTGGGTGCGTTTGCATTCAAGGACCTGCACCCACAAGGGTGTCAAACTGGGAGCAGCGTCTGTGTCTGTGCAGCACCTGTGTCCCAACCAGGGGCGGACTGACAAATTAAGGGGCCCCTGGGCAATAGGGGATCATGGGGCCCCTGTGTCCTTGCCCAAACTCAAAAAAACCTATGAAAAAAAGGTACCAGGATCATCTCATGGGGCCCCCTACTGACCCTGGGCCCTCGGGCAGTGCCCGAGTTTCCAAATGGTCAGTCCGATCCTGGTCCCAACTGACATGAATGGGACTGCCCGCATGAAAATCCTGTGCATCCCTGAAACACAGTCCCTGTACTGGTGTATACTTAAAGCGGAGCTCCACCCAAAAGTGGAAGTTCCGCTTTAAGGACTGCCTCCCCACTCCCCATTAAGGATTGGCACCTTTGGGGGGTGGGGGGGAGCAGGTACCCAAATTTGACAGGTACCCGCTCCAACTTCCGGTCCGATCACCTAGGCGATCGGAAACGGAAGATGTCCTCCCTCCCTCCCTCCCTGTAGTCTTTTGGGACACATGACAGGTCCCAGAAGACTACCAGAAGGACCATTCATGAAGCGCAGCACTACTCGCACATGCGCAGTGGGCAACTGGCTGTGAAGCCGCAAGCTATCACAGCCGGGTGCCCACACTGAAGATGCCGGCACCTGGAATACAGGACGGCCGGTAAAACGAGCTGCAGGGGACACACTGCGGGACCGAGGGACAGGTAAGTGACTGTTTTTTTAAAAGTCAGCAGCTACAGTTTTTGTAGCTGCTGACTTTAGTTTTTGACAGGGTGAGCGGAACTCCATTTTAAGTACGCCCTTGTGAACGAGGCTTTAGGCTATGTTCACACCTATACAGTTTGCATTTGACCCATTTCTGCATTGCGTTTTGCACCTGCATTTTTGACATGTTTTAGATGCGTTTTGCGTTTTTTTTTTTTTTTTTTGTTTGGCAAAAACGCAGCAAAAACGCACTACATGCTTTTCTGCAGTGTTTCTATTGAAGTCCATAGAACCAAAAACAGAACTTTTTTGTGTTCATCAAAGTCCCTGACCCTTTCCAAAAAACGCATCGGGTGAAAATGCGGAGATGTGAACGTGTCCCATAGGAAACCATGTTAAATGGACTGTAGTGCGTTTTTACAAAACGCTGCAGAAAATGCTTAGGTGTGAACCTAGGTATTAATCAGTCTGAGGCAGGGGCGGACTGACCATTTGGAAACTCGGACACTGCCCAAGGGCCCGGTGTCAGTAGGGGGCCCCATGAGATGCCCCTGGTACCTTTTTCACAGGCTTTTTTTTTTGGGCAAGGACACAGGGGCCCCATGATCCCCTATTGCCCGGGGGCCCCATAAGTTGTCAGTCCGCCCCTGCATGTAACATAAAAAAATTGCACCACCCACCATTTTATTCTCTAGTGCCTCTGCTAAAATATATATATAATGTTTGGGGTTTCTAAGTAATTTTCTAGCTAAAAAGTACTGATTTTTACATGCAGGAGAGAAGTGTCAGAATTGGCCTGGTAGGGAAGTAATTAAACCCCATAATGCTCTGTGACACAAGTGTCATGAGAAGCTTTGTTATAAATATATATTTTGTAAACAAGAATTTTATATATGTAGTAAAAAAATGTTTACAAAACTTTTACACTTTTAAAAAAGTAATATTAAAGGGCTGTCCCAGAACAATTGTTCCCACTTTCCTTTGTGGTTTTCTGGGCAGGAAGTTAGGATGAATCTCCCCCAGTAGGGACACAGACCACTGAGGCTTTGACCCTTCCCTACTCCGTCCAACTAAAGAGAACCTTGAGTGGGAGTTCTGTTTAATCCGTGTTCTTTTTTATCCTCATACAAATCAATTTTAACATTTTCCCTTAAATTCTTTTCTCCTTACAGGCAACATGGTCTCCCCTGTAAGTTATCATGTCTGTGAACGGACAGTGACTCAAAACGTCTCCAAGGTGGTCCCTTCCAAGAAGCCACGTGTTGAGAAATCCCTGTGTATGGGATGGATTCCATGGAAGTTGTGTTGCAATACTTATTATGTGACAGAGTATCGGACAATATGGGTGCCTGACACCATGACCATTAATGATTGCTGCGAAGGGTACGAGTTTGTGGGCCATTATTGCGCCATGTGTAAGCTATATTACGTTCTTTCATTAATATTTTTTTAATAAAGATCTTTAACTGGGTTTCACATTTTAAGATCTGAATTTCTATGTTACAGCTCCAAAAAGTCCGAAGCTAATAAACTCCAGGCCCGGTGTCTGTTCATGTCAGTTGGGACCAGGAGCGGACTGACCATTTGGAAACTCGGGCACTGCCGAGGGCCCGGGGTCAGTAGGGGGCCCCATGAGATGACCCTGGTACCTTTTTCATAGGCTTTTTTGAGTTTGGGCAAGGACATAGGGGCCCCATGATCCCCTATTGCCCGGGGGCCCCATGAGTTGTCAGTCCGCCCCTGGTCTGAGGGTTCATTCAGATGGCTGCTGGCACCAGTCCTGCATGCAAGCTGCCCTTATTATTGCACCTGCATCTTCCCCAAGCTGCATGCAGGTAAACTATAGAGGCTACGTGTTAAAATGCTGTGCAATTGTTCCTGAATGGCCCCAAACGCAGATGGTGTGCATTTCCAGGCCATGTGGCCACTCCTGAAAATTTCGACATGTGGCTGTGTCCATGCCTCTGCACCCACCTCTATAGGCTGCCTGCACGCAGGATGGATGCCGGCGCCCATCTGAACGAACCCTTACCCGTGGCTGCAGATCCTGTTACGTCTATACAATACTGTAAACTGCTTCCAAGGATGCCAGGTTTTTTCTTAACACTTCAAAACTCTTCATATGTTAAGTTTGTAGGTTTCAGAGAAAAAAAAGTCATCAGAGATGAAAGATACCATAAGCTTTTGGGAGCAGCAGGTGCACAAAAATAGAACGTCACATGACCTACCAGGACCAATCAGCACACGTTCTGCGAGTCATTTCATAAGGATGTTCACAGAATTGCTACAAGCCTTTACACGCACTTTGAAAAGACCGGTCCCTGGGCTCCTTATTAACTTGTTTTTTCCCACTGCGAGAATGGCATCTGCGTCAGCTGAGGTTACCGGGGAGAGCAAGCCAATTGTAAGGCCGGGAAAAAATAGCCGGTGTTTAAAGATGGCAGAGGAAGAAATCCATGGAAACATTATTTTCAGGAACTAAAAGTTTTCTTAAAGAGGAACGTTGGACTGTTTCAAAAAATTAAAAGTCAGCAGCTACAAATAAAAAATGAAAGCTTGTGAGCTGCTTTGTGAGTGATGAATGCTTCTAATTAGTGATTGTGAATCGCCTGCACCTAACACATACTCATACTAGTGTGTCAAACCAATACAAAATACCAAAATTGTGTCGCGCTTCACTTAAATATAGATAATAAATATATCCAAGAGCTTCTATTAATAATACATGTCAAAATAATATAAATCAATAAATTAGTGGAATGAATAAATCAATCAGTATCAATTTTCAAAAGCAATGTCCATATACATGTCAAAAAAAGTCATAAAAAAGGTCCATATATATACTTCTGCAAATGTGCATAGTTCACATGGAAAAATAAAATAAATATCCCGTGTTCCTTAATTGATTTATGTGAAAAAAACTCATAATTTTTTTTTCAGGGGGAAAGATCATTGCCCCTGATGAAGCCACGTGACCGGTGGCGTAACGCGTAGGGGAGGGGCTTTGATGCCACAACGCTCGATGCTTCCATACTGACACCAGCTGGCAATTTTAGGATTTTCAGCACTGAAAAAAATCTGGAGGATACATTTTCTGCACAAAGAGGTTTATATACAGATTATATGTGAGTGCATTACTTTTATTAATAAAACGGTTTTAAAAGGATAAAACACTATGATCTGATTATTCCTCTATATTAACCACCGTGGAAGGAGAGCCTCTCGATTGAATGAAGGGGGACCCCAAACAGCAAGATACCATCTCATCCATACTTTGGCCCATTTAAAGGGACACAAGCATTATATGACCTTACTTAACAGTTTGGTCATCTACTTGAGGTGAGAGCACAACCGGCGGGGAAGCACACTAAAGCAAGTTTTTTTCACATAACAAATCAATTAAGGAGCACGGAATATTTATTTTATTTTATTTCTCCAAGTGAACTATGCAGGTTTGAAGAAGTGTGCATATATACTGTATATATATATATATATACAGTGGGGATCGAAAGTTTGGGCACCCCAGCTAAAAATTTGAATTAATGTGCATAAAGAAGCCAAGGAAAGATGGAAAAATCTCCAAAAGGCATCAAATTACAGATTAGACATTCTTATAATATGTCAACAAAAGTTAGATTTTATTTCCATCATTTACACTTTCAAAATAACAGAAAACAAAAAAAAAGTTTGGGCACCCTGCAGAGTTAATATCTTGTACTGTATATATATATATGTGTGTGTGGACCTTTTTTCTGACTTTTTTTGACATGTATATGGACATTGCTTTTGGAAATTGATATTTATTGATTTATTCATTCCACTAATTTATTCATTTATATTATTTTGACACGTATTATTAATAGAAGCACTTGGATGTATTTTATAGTTAAACGAAGCGTGGCACAGTTTTAGTATTCAGCAGCTACAAATACTGCAGCTGCTGACTATTAATAGATAAAAAGACACTTACCAACCTGGAGAGCCAGGGCTGTACTTACCCAGGCCGACTCTTTGCCGGTTCTCAGGTCCCCGGTGCCGCCATGGTGAATGTGGGAACTCAACTGTGACTCCAGGTTGCTTCACAGCTGACTCCCCACTGCGCATGCATGAGCCATGCTGCACTATTATTATTGGGTCTGTGCTGGGCTTTTTGTTGGTGGGAATGCAGTTCCAGCAGCTCCAGTACTGAATGTATGTAATGGAAAGGGGTGCTGGGGTGGGCTGGAGGGTCTATTGATGCTGGAGGGAATCTATTTTTGAGTGGGGTCTATTGTTCCTGTGGGGGTCTTTGGTTGCTGGTGGGGAATCTATAGATGCTGGGGTGGTCTTATGTTGCCAGGGGTCTACTGTTGCTGGGGTGGAACCAGGGGTGGACTGACCATTATGGAATTTGGGCACTGCCCCAGGGCCCTGGGTCAGTAGGGGGCCCCATGAGATGCCTCTGGTACCTTTCATAGGCTTTTTTTGGGTGTGGTTTGAGTGTGGGCGAGAACACAGGGGCCCCATGATCCCCTATTGCCCGGGGGCCCCAAGATTTGTCAGTCTGCCCCTGGGTTTCTGGGGTGGCATCTCATTGTGTGGGGTCCATTGTTGCTTGGGGGGTCTATTGTTGTAGAGGGTATCTATTGTTGCTGGAGGAGTCTATTGTTGCAATTGGGTCTACAGGTGAAACTCAAAAAAATTAGAATATCATGCAAAAGTTCATTTATTTCAGTAATGCAACTTAAAAGGTGAAACTAATATATGAGATAGACTCATTACATGCAAAGCAAGATAGTTCAAGCTGTGATTTGTCATAATTGTAATGATTGTGGCTTACAGCTCATGAAACCCACAATCTTAGATGAGAATATTGTGAAAAGGTGCAATATTCTCGGCTCAAAGTGACCCACTCTAATCAGCTAATTAAGCCATAACACCTGCAAAGGGTTCCTGAGCCTTTAAATGGTCTCTCAGTCTGGTTCAGTAGGAATCACAATCATGGGAAAGACTGCTGACCTGACAGGTGTGCAGAAAACCATCATTGACACCCTCCATAAGGAGGGAAAGCCTCAAAACGTTATTGCAAAAGAAGTTGGATGTTCCCAAAAATTGTTTTAGGTATTCTTCACCTTCTGTCCATATGATGAAAATATCATCAATATAGCGATAGTATCTGTATGGTTTTTGTTCCATGCTGTTCAGGAATTTTTGCTCCAGGTCAGCCATAAATAAATTGGCATATTGGGGTGCCAATTTACTTCCCATCACAGTACCCATACATTGAAGATGACCTGAAGAAGGGGACACTCCCCGAAAGCTTGTCCTTAAAATTGTTTGTTAGTGCAAATAAAAAAAGTATCACGGACAGTACCCAATTGTTTTTGTTATCATTAACAAATTCCATATAAATTACTGAGCACCACAAAAAGATACCTGGTTCTGTATTATCTAAAAAGGGTGGTACTGGGAGGTGGGTACAGGGTGGAACCAAGGGATGGTGCTCAGAGGTGTGAGACAAGGGGTGATTCAGAAAGGGAGAGTTCCTTCACATATTCTCTCTGAGGAAAGAAAAGCCCTGGGTCTGTAATCAGCTGTGTCCATAACAAAAAAATACATTAATATAAATCTAAATATCTTCTTCAATTCTCATATGGTGGAATTCGTGACAACATTCAGTATGACCTCCACCACTTCTCATAGATAAACTCTCACGTTAATGCATAGATGGTCAGTGGGAAGAATTCCCCTTACATTGATGGTCAGTGGGAAGAATGCTCCTCGCATTCTCTGTCAGTGAGAATACCCCTTACATTGGTAGTCGGTGAGTAGAATGCCCCTTACATTGGTGGTCCGTAGGAAAAATGACCTTACATTGGTGGTCAGTGGGAAGAATGCTCCTTACATTGGTGGTCAGTTTGAAGAATGCTCCTCGCATTCTCTGTCAGTGAGAATACCCCTTGTATTGGTGGTCAACGGGTACAATACCCCTTACATTGGTGGTCCGTGGGAGAAGGAGGAGGACACACTGAAGGAGCTCTCCCTGAGAACCAGCGTTTTTCAAGCCTGGGCCTTGCCTCCTAGCTTGGCACAGGAAACATGCCTGATCCAGGGGGAGGCCCTGGGAGGGATCCCTCTGATGGCACAGGGCCTAGTGAGGAGGAGGAAGAGGTGGAGAACCTGACTGTGGGTCCAGGCCCTGGTAAAGATGTGGATGTCTTTAGACAGAGGATTATTGATCAGTTCATGGCGATTGGAGGAGCTGAGGGAAAACTTAAAGTTTTGAAAGCTGAGCACAAATCCTTCAGCGTCAAATACTGTCAGGACTGGAGTAAGAATCGATTGGCCATGGAGCCATAGTTACAGCAGATGGAAGAGAAAAAGTAAAAAAGCAATCTTTATAATTGGAAAAGCTGAAAGTGGAGCATTTGCAGAAAAGTTTGACAAGGAGAGAATTGCCAGCCGGACATCAGTGAGTTCTATGGATCAGCAGCCTCAGATAATGGATGACCTGGATCCATCTACCTCTGTGTCTCTCCCCCCATGTCAGGATGCGGAATCGCCAAAGGCAACCAGCCAGGGGGACCATGGAACCTTAAGATTCATTAAGCAGATGGAGTCACTCCTGAGAGCAGACACGTTTGCCTTTTCTGATGATCCATCAGAAGCCCCTGAGGATGGACAGAAAAGGTACAGACCAGCAAAGCCAGTACCAGTGGAGAAGTCTCAGTACACCAAGATGGCTGCTTCCAGCATTTCTGCCCCACCAGCTGTGGTGGATGGTGTCCCGGCTGAGGAGCAAAAAGAGAAGGAGCTCTGTAAGGAGCCAGCTGTTGGTCTTTCTGCTGTGGGGAAATCCTCTGCAGACATGGAGGAAAAACCCCTGACAGAGATGTTTCCAAACCATTAGAGGAATGTGGATGGATCTGCGCCAAACTCTTTGG